AAATTGAACACTGTATTTGCTTCTTTGTGATTTAGCATTCTAAAATACTCAAAAGAACGGCTGCATTAAGAGAACACCAAATGACTCAGATTCAAAAGACTGGCATTATCATATCTAAGATTGCTTTTATAGTGTTAATTTAGCTCAGCTGTGTGAGTCCCTTTCCAAACAGCGGGTCATTTAATGAGAGCATTTTTTTTCAGAAGACCTCTATCTCACTTAGATCTGGGAATAAACTCAACACTTTGCATTGAAGAAGACACTAAATGTGAGGTAGCTAATCCCCCATTTTCTGCAGAACTGAAATTTGATGTAGTGAATAAGGTAGCACTTGCAGAAGGGTTGCTGAATTAAGGAATTTGAATATTGCCCAGAATTCAGACTTTGGACCTGATTCTCCATCAATAGTTCTCCATTATGGTGGTTGACATGAACTGAAGGATCTCTGGAAAAGCAACAAAATTCATTTGTTATTCAACCGACATATCGGCTTAATTTACTTTCTGCAAAGCAAAGATGATACCACTGATTCAGCTCATAAGAATAAAGACAGATCAGTGGTTGCTGTGAAGTGCTCAGATGCTGACCTGAGAACACATTACAAAAGTCTGAAAGAAATTAATGATGTTTATCAAGAACAGCATCTGAGCAGAGAGTGATAAATGAAGTGCAAAGTCACACACAGAAATGGGAAGAAAATAACAGTGAACTACATGGATACCGTCCATTCCATCCAATACATGGGATAAGGGTATATTGAAAGAATACTTTATGATCTGATAACCAAAGGCCATTGTAAGGTGCCTTCACAGAGGGGGCAGGTTAAGTTTGCACAGGCAGTTTTAATTCTGATCTGTTATTTTTTTTATCTTTGCTGATCCCTTGGCAATGATCATTGAACTGTTACATTGTTACAATACAATGCTGCATAAAACCTTCTCTCACCAATACATACATGCTTGTTTATGTGCCATTTCCTAGAATTTTTTTTATAAAGGAAAATCTACCTACCTTGTATTAAAGAAAGATTTAAGGACAATAGAAAGGGTTTCTTCAAATACATAGCAAATAAAACTAACACAAGAGGCAATATAGGCCCACTGCTGAACGAGGTGGGTGCCCTGGAGACAGAGGATATAAAGAAGGCAAAGGTGCTGAATGCCTTCTTTGCCTCTGTCTTTACTCCTGCAGACTCTCCCCGGGGGCCCCAGATTCCTATTGCCCCAGGAGGAGTCAGGGCAAAGGAGGAGTTTGCTTTGGTAGATGAGGATTGGGTTAGGGATCAGCTATGCAATCTGGACATCTATAAATCGATGGGTCCGGATGAAATGCACCCACGGGTGCTGAGGGAGCTGGCGGAGGCCATTGCTAGGCCACTCTCCATCATCTTTGGTAAGTCGTGGGAAACGGGAGAGGTGCCTGAGGATTGGAGGATGGCAAATGTCACACCAGTCTATAAGAAGGGCAAGAAGGAGGACCCGGGTAATTATAGACCGGTCAGCCTTACGTCCGTCCCTGGAAAGGTGATGGAACAACTTATTCTTGACTCCATTTCTAGGCATATAGAGGATGAGGGGGTTATTAAGAACAGCCAACATGGTTTTATGAGGGGGAAGTCATGTTTGACCAACCTTATAGCCTTCTATGAGGAAGTGACTAGGTGGAGGGATGATGGTAGAGCAGTAGAGGTGGTTTTTCTTGATTTCAGTAAGGCATTTGATACTGTCTCCCACAGCATTCTCATAGATAAGCTAAGGAAGTGTGGGCTTGACGATCAGGTAGTGAGGTGGATCAAGAACTGGTTGGAAGGAAGAAGGCAGAGAGTTGTGGTCAATGGTGAAGAATCTAGCTGGAGGTCTGTGACTAGTGGAGTGCCTCAGGGGTTGGTGCTGGGACCAGTGCTGTTTAATATTTCCATCAACGACGTGGATGAGGGAACCGAGTGTACTCTCAGCAAGTTTGCTGATGATACTAAACTGGGAGGAACGGCTGACACACCAGAAGGCTGTGCTGCCATTCAGCGAGACCTGGACAGGCTGGAGAGTTGGGCAGGGAGAAATCTGATGAAATTCAACAAGGGCAAGTGTAGAGTCTTGCATCTGGGGAAGAACAACCCCATGTACCAGTACAGGTTGGGGACTGACCTGCTGGAAAGTAGCGAAGGGGAAAGGGACCTGGGAGTCCTGGTGGGTAGGAGGATGAACAGGAGCCAGCAATGTGCCCTTGTGGCCAAGAAGGCAAATGGCATCCTGGGGTGCATTAGAAAGTGTGTGGTTAGTAGGTCAAGAGAGGTTCTCCTCCCCCTCTATTCTGCCTTGGTTAGGCTGCATCTGGAATATTGTGTCCAGTTCTTGGCCCCTCAGTTCAAGAAGGACAGGGAACTGCTTGAAAGAGTCCAGCACGGAGCCACAAAGATGATTAAGGGAGTGGAACACCTCCCTTATGAGGAGAGGCTGAAGGAGCTGGGTCTCTTCAGCTTGGAGAAGAGGAGACTGAGGGGTGACCTCATCAGTGTTTACAAATATGTAATGGGTGGGTGTCATGATGATGGAGCTAGGCTTTTTTCAGTGATATCCAGTGATAGGACAAGGGGCAATGGGTGTAAACTGGAGCATAGAAGGTTCCACGTTAACATCAGGAAGAGCTTCTTTACTGTGAGAGTGACAGAACACAGGTTGCCCAGGGGGGTTGTGGAGTCTCCCACATTGGAGATATTCAAGGCCCGCCTCGACAAGTTCCTGTGTGATGTACTCTAGGTTACCCTGCTCTTGCAGGGGGGTTGGACCAGATGATCTCTCGAGGTCCCTTCCAACCCTTGGGATTCTGTGTGATTCTGTGTGATATACAGAATCATAGAATGGTTAGGGTTGGAAAGGACCTTAAGATCATCTAGTTCCAACCCCTCTGCCATGGGCAGGGATGCCTCACACTAGACGAGGTCACCAAAGGCTCTCTCCAACCTGGCCTTGAACACTGCCAGGGATGGAGCATTTACCACTTCTTTTGAGCAACCTGTTCCATCGGTGCAATTTATTTCATATTACAATTCATTGGGACTTTTGAGTTCCCTAACTTGTTGAAACTGCTAAACCTCTAAATTTGAAGTTTGTATCATTAATCAGTATATGCTCCAATTACCCAAACATATCCTCATATATATATATTCACTAGGTACTCAGCCCCTTATGGAATTCAGGTGTATAAACAAGCTCAACAGATATACTGACATGAAATTACATGGGAATTACTCATCCAGTTGAGCAACCTCCCTCTGATGTCTGCTTTTTCTAAATATGTGGTCGACAATACATTATTGTCCCTTACACTTTTATGACTCCTGTTTTTATTTACATGTTAAAACATGGGTTTAAATAAGTGACTTGATCAAGACTGCCAGGCACCATACCTGCATTTACAAATCCCTGACTGGTGCTTTAGTCACAGTAAAATCTTTCCTTCAATTTAATGAGCACTAAAATTCAGTTCTTAAAATATTACTCCTATAAAATGTTGGCAAGTCTTGTGATTTTTTTTTTATTTAAATAACAAGAGAAATGTTATTTCCGATAGCAATATTAAGTGAAACTAAACATTGATTCCTGCCTTGCTTTCAGCAGGATCCACTCTCCGGCTCAGCCGTATTCACTTCACCTTCAATTGCATGGATTTTTCCTCCTACAGCATTTTAAAAGGTCTAATTTTTATTTCAAATTTTCATTCTGCATACCTTACCAGCTGTGAGAAAAGCCACTTTCTTCATGTATTTTTTTTTTCATTCAGGGGCTTGTTCTAGTGCAAAGTCAAATCCCCTTAAACCTTCAATTGGTTCCCAGCATTCTTAATGGTTACCCCATACTCTGGATCGCTATATATAGTCTTTATCACTCTATGTATAAAGTCTTTATTACTCTGATGTCTAAATTTCTGATATATTGAATTGGATCTTCCAGCAAGATTTTTTTTCATTCTATTGTGTTACAATACAATGCTGCATAAAGCCTTCTCTCACCAATACATCCAGCAACCCAGAATATCATGGTTTAAGAGAGATGCTAGTCTGGAGCCATCTACTGGTTGTATTGCTGAGCTTTAATAGATAAGCATGTATCAATAGATTAATCACCTAAGTATGTGATGTTTCTTGTGTACTGGTTCTTTGTTTCTAAGTTAAAAAATTAATGAACTTTATATGGTGCAAATATAAAAAAAATCTTGCTTTCATAAACAAAATTAAAATGGAGGGGAGTAGCCTAAAAAAGCTCTTATTACTCAATAGCACTGAAAGGAAACCAAGGAATAAAGCAATATTAATCTTAAGATGTAAACAATCCAGATACCTTTAATTTTATTGCTGTGATGAATAGGATAAGTAATCCTTATTGCCTTATTAGGTGTTTTGCAACATTTTACCCTGAATTTGTATGTCATGTTCTAGAATAGCTAAAATGCACCGCGTACAGTTTGCTTGGGAATAAAAAAGGTCTCAGTCAATTTTATTATGTTCTTCAAAGGTTTTTATTAAAAATAAATTCAGACAAAAAAGGCAGCAGATTAACAGAACTATAAAGCCTTTAAAAACAGAAGTGCTAATAAATCAGCTGCTATGAGCTAAAAATAATCCAGACAATTTCATTTGGAATCCAAAAGTATATTTACATAATGACGATGTTTAGTATGTACTTATGCATTTATTAGATGATAGTATTGATAATTTGTGCTGTAATTTAGTCATATTTCTATTACTGCAAGAATATATGCAGCATGCAATTCTGTCTTCAGGAGCAAGGGAGAGAACTCTACAGATTTTACCAGCTTGAGAGAGATTCTTTGCACCTATTAAATAAGTGTACCTATATATCTATGTACCTGTAGATACACATACGTACACATAAAAATATATAGATATTAACTCATTATGCTAATGTCTATAGATTAAAATGCATATATTTACATACATATAGACCAGCATGTATACATACATACAAGTGCATGCATACATACATATAAGTGCATGTATACATGTATGCCATATATGTATCTTTATCTATATACATACACACGCAGGCATGCACACTCATGTCCATCTGTATATCACACCTATCATTTAAATTCTACCTTCTACAGTTTCAGTTAAACAAAATCCTCTGTGGGCTCTCAGTTGCACCAGGATTAAACACCTGCCATTATTCACACTTGCCCTCAGCAGATCCATCAGCAGGGCAGACTTCCAACAGGAGCTGTAAGTGGCAAGTAATTTTATCAAGAAATGAAAAATGCAATTTAAAATGTATGAAAGGCAGATAAACAATAAGACTTCCCAGCATAAACAGGAAAGCATAAACATACTGCAGATCTGGAGACCAGACTATGGGAGCTAAAACTAAGAAGAAAGACATTGCCACCATCACAAATGGAACTGGTAGAAACACCTGCAAGAGAAAGAAAAAAAAATTGTTTAGGAAATAAACTGACCAACTGTGATTTTATGCCTTCATAAGAGTAATAATGTGTTATTTGCCACACTAGAGTTCCATTTATCCTACTGCTGCAATCTCACCCAGGACAAGATTCATCTGACCTCAAATTGACTACAAGATAGGCATCTTTTCTAAAACACTTGTTCAGGCTCCTTCTCTCCTCAAGAGGGTAAGATAGGCAGTACCTGAAAATCATTTGTTCACATATGATGTTAGGGGCTACTAAAAGATTCTCAGGGTTGGGTGCCTAAAAGCAGCCTTCACAATAAGCATACACTTCTACCACAGCTTTCTAACAGCTGGACTGAGAGAAAATTAAACATCTCCTTAATGTCTGTGGTGGCATCAGGAAAGAGTGGAGTAGATCAAGGTTTAACTACCCATGAATAGCCAGTCTGGATGCCACATTGTTCTGGTTACCGCTCCACACTAGTACAGTTTCAATGTTGTTTGCACATATCCCCCATTCTGCATATATCCAACTCTTGTTTTCAAATGCAGGGTCTCTGGGGCAGAGACCCTATGCTCATTTCTTTGCCATCTACAGTAAAGCAAAGGTTTTAAGTAAGGCTCTAAAACACTGTGATCGTTTGTATTTTTGTAGTGACTATCCACTTCTGACTTGCACTTGTTCTACAACTTCTGCAAGCTACCCATGACTCAAAAAAATCTGCAAATACTTTTTGTAACTTTTTCCATTTACTTTGTACGGGCGATGCAGATGAGGTTCCCGGTATCGAAGTACAATCAGGCTTGCACAAGTCAATCCAGTCATAAGCCAGGCAGAAAATCCAAAGTAATTTGTTAACATAATAAGGTCAGAAGGGATGATAAAAATGGATGCAATGGTGGTTGAAAAAATCATGGCTGGTGCTGGAGTACAGGAATGGACATTAAGCATGGACATTAAAACAGGTAAATGTCCTGACTGACTTCCAGCATAGCTTAATCGACCAAGTGTAAACATGCTGCTGTTGAGGGCACCAAATATTGAGACAGCAACAGAGAGAGGAATGATCCAGGCAACAGAGGGGATCACTCGATCAGCCCAAGTGACTGCCACAGCAACTGCAAGAAAGCAAAACATTAGTGCAGTGTAGGTACCATGTTCTGAATTACTGGCAGACTCAACAGAAACAAAATTTAAAGTACACCACCTACTATTTACCAGCAATGCCTGGTTTTTGTTACAGCAGTCAAGCATGACTAACCTAATCCTACCAACAAGGGAGCTACAAATTTCCAGGGGAGGGAAGGGATGACAGCAAGAAAGGAGTAGTGCCTGCCACAGCAAGCCAGGTAAACATGCTGGGGCCAGTACCACAATAATGGACTGCCCAGTGGGAGAAAGCTGCACCTCACTCCCATGCATCACAAACATACGCATGTGGGCAAGGCCATGAGGGCAAAGAAAATGAAGTCCCCAGCATGGCCACAGTGGTGACACGATCTACTGTTAGGAAACTGCCAACACAAGCGGCGCATGTGTGCACAGAGATGGGTCAGCAAGTGTGTTATTAATGAGGTTTTGCTTTGGGTCAAACTGGGAAATGTGAAAGATTATTTCTGAATGATGGATGTTCAATGTTGTTTAAAAATTAGCTGTAGCCCATACTGTAGTAAGGAATAATAATTAGTGGTTTTATAACCAACTGCCTTGAGGAATATAGGTCCTGCAGTGATCTGCACAGCATAGGAAGTTTTTAGAAATGGGGAAAACACACACCACAAAAAAATGTAATGAAGGAACAGCAACTCATAGCAATGATTGAAAGAAGCGTTATAATTTTAAGGCCATCTCCTCACCTGATACAGATAAGCAGAGCTCCCCTGGTATGTTTGGAGCTGGTCATGCCAGCTGGGCAGCTGCTATGCACAGATACTCTGCCTCTTTCACTGTAGCATGGATCTGCAAATGAATCCATCTTTCCCAGCAGGTAGCCTGACTGGCTCAGTGATAATACCAGGTTGCTGAGTGACAGCTACTCCACTCCCATTTATGTTATTTAGATGTTTTCCCAGGAGATCTGGTTTTTGTCACTCCTGGAGGCAAGGTCTGACAGATCACCCTCTAATAGAGTGGTATTTAAAAGGTGCTGTTTGGACAATCCAGGACAAATACAGCTCCTCTCAGACCTTTTCACGGACAGCGCATTGGTACAGGATCTGAGAGAGGCTTTACATACACTGAACTTTTGTATAGGCTCTTCTAAGGAATCACAGTATTTGCTATAAATTATGCACACACAAGACGGCTATGTTATTGTGCCCAGTCTTTTTCATATTACTTATCACATCAGACTTGTCCACCTCCAACAATAATGGCTTTAGCCTGAGCCACCAGGTAGGGAAGGAAGGAGGAGAGAGGATTAAAACTACAGGAAAACAAAGGCCTTCTCTATACTCAGCAGAGACTTGATCTTCACCTGATATTCCAGGGCTTAACACAATTCTGATTTCTTTTTAGACAGTGCAGCTAAAAGCCAAAATTTTCAACACCTAATAACATCTGCCTGTATTCAGTCCAGCTTGTGTCATACATTAAAATTAAACAAGAAATCTCTGTTAAAACTTAGAACAAAGCCCAAACTTCTAGACTGTGAAGTCAGATGAGGAGAAGCGACCCATACCTGGTAAACTAACATCAGATGGGTATGCTAATGGACAATACATTTTTAATAAAAAAAAAAATCCATACCTGATGAGACAATTTCCTTAGGTGTGAGGACAGTCAGATACGAGATGTTCACCAGTAAATAAAAAACCATTACTGCAGGAACAGCAGTCATCACAGTTAAAGGGATATTCCTGCTAGGGTTTTTCATCTCCTCTGAAAAATACAATTTAAAAAGACTAATAAAGCAAGCAGTGTAGCTTCTGCAAGTGTGTTTCAGTAGTGAATCTGCACAGAGCTTCATGAGACCAATACCAAAGCCCTGCTTCAATCCCTAAGCACAGCTGCTGAGCTATATTGCTTGTGATGTCCTGCAGTGGTTCTCAAAGAGTTTATTAGTCTAAACCTTTCTTTTTTTTTTTTTCTTCTTATTTAACTGTATTTTCTTGCTATCTTGGAAGGAGGGATGCATGAGAGGTCTGATAGACTGACTAAAAAAATCACAAAAGGACTGATAATCTTTGATTTGATTAAACAAGTATTTGACTTACATTAGAAAACTGATTTGGTAATAAACATTAAAGTACCCATAAAATCACTAGCTTAAACGTGATACTTTAAAGTCAAATTATTTACTGTCATATCACCTCATGAGCCCTGATCTGGAACTTTTTGAGTGTATTCTCCTATTCCTGCACAAAACCCTTTTCTTTGTTCCTGTATCAGGAACTAGAGAAAAAGTAACAGGAGAGACTGAAGGTACTGTCAGAATACATGCAATGCAGTAGCTTTAAAAGGTCATTCCCAGCTGTATTCTGCTCTTATCTGCGCCAGCAGCCCAGAAAGCCAACCATATCCTGGGCTGCATTAAAAGGAGCGTGACCAGCAGGTCGAAGGAGGTGATCCTGCCCCTCTACTCTGCTCTTGTGAGACCTCACTTGGAGTATTGTGTGCAGTTCTGATGTCTTCAACATAAAAAAGACATGGCACTGTTGGAAGAAGTCCAGAGGAGGGCCACGAGGATGATCAGGGGACTGGAGGACCTCCTGTATGAAAATAGGCTGAGAAAGCTGGGGCTGTTCATCCTGGAGAAGGCTGCGTGGAGACCTCATAGCAGCCTTCCAGTATCTGAAGGGGGGCTATAGGGATGCTGGGGAGGGATTCTTCATTAAGTACTACAGTGATAGTACAAGGGGTTATGAGTTAAAACTCAAACTGGGGAAGTTTAGACTGGATGTAAGGAAGAAGTTCTTTACTGTGAGAGTGGTGAGGCACTGGAAGGGCTTGCCCAGGGAAGTTGTGAACGCTTCATCCCTGGCAGTCTTCAAGGCCAGGTTGGACAGAGCCTTGGGTGATACGGTTTAGTGTGAGGTGTCCCTGCCCATGGCAGGGGGGTTGGAACTAGATGATCTTAAGGTCCTTTCCAACCCTAACCTATGATTCCTCCAAGGCAATGCTGGTGGACAAAAATGTTTAGTGCTAAGCCTGACATCTTAGCTTAAAACTACCCTCACCAAGTAAGAAATAACTTCAGGTTTGCAGCTAAACAACTGAAACACTGCCATGCATGCCTGACCATGTGATAGTCCCAGCAGAAGATGGAGCTGGTTTCCAGAACCCAAGTAATTCATCCTCATATCAGTCAAAATGAGTATTTTTCATCCCTTCCACTCCATTCACTTTTGCTCCCTCTCCCCTTCCTATTTCCCTCAGCTTTTACAGACGACTTCCCGAGTGTTACCAAGAAATAACTCACAAGGGGGAAGAAATGGAAAGTCAAATGTGCAGTTTACTTAGCTCTTTTTAGGACACAAAACTCCCTTTCCTCCCTCAAATGTAATTTCTTTCCTGCTCAGAACACCAGCTTTGAGCCTGCCCCAGCACTGGCTGCAGTGCACAGTGCCAGAGGAACTGAATGAGCGCAAGAGAAGAATCCAGATACAGACTATAGGAGAATTTGGGATTTATTTCAAATGTAAGAAATACACTTGGTAATTTTGAGCCCAGACGAGGACAATCACCAAACCTGCCAATTTAAATTTATCTTTCCATTTGTCTTGCTGTTTGCTGTAGTCCTGCTGTCCAGCTGGCACCTGATGCTTTAGCTGCAGCTGATGGGAATGAAGTTATTGCTGAAGAATAGGCAATTCAGTTCATAAGGGGACTACTGCATAGGTTGGATCTATCTAAACAGCTGTGCTGCCCAGTGTGTGGTACTTACTGCTACTGCTAACTAACCAGAAACTAAAGTAATATTTTACCCATAATTTGTATTGTCTCAGGCTTGCAAAGCTAAATGCTTGCCTTTAAGGAAATACTATGACTTTAAATATATACTTTGCTGACTTGTAGCAACTTTTCTACTGCAGCATACTATTAATGCTGTAATAGCTGGATTGTAATAATAAGTCATTGTTTTAAACATTAACTCCATTTTCACACTGCTCACCACTGAACTTTGTTATACGTTTCACACAATTTATTTAATGATTTACAGGTGACAGAGGTCAGTGGATAAATAGGGTTAAAGATATAAAAGCAACATCCACTTGCTTATAACTTAATTCTATAAATCTGATGATACTATAAAACACTATTTAACTTGAGGCATGTATAACTAGTATCAGGAACATTATCTGCAGCTTTCAAAAACTGCCCTATTTATTACTGTAATGTGTCATCACATACACAATAAGGCAAGTAAATAGATATTTAAAAAGCTTTTAAATGTTTGAATAGAGATTATACAGAATTATTTATAACACTTTCCTTTGATTCTTCTTCACTTTCTCTGCAAAACTCTCATTTTCCCAAGAAAGTGACTACTGACCATCTTATATATCCCATAAATTTTCAGAAATTGTATTTCAACACAATTCAAAATTACTTTGTCCACATACAAATCAGCTGCATAACCTAAGAGAAGGTACAGATATTTAAATGCAAATTAATCAATTACTTTTCTTTGGTTTGGTTTTAATGTGCACATAATTTGGCATGGACCTTAATCCTTTCCTAATAATGCACTTGCATTTACACTGAGAAAGACAACATGCAAATTTTGAGGTATGAAAAAAATCTGTTCATGCACAAAATTTTAAATGAACTATTTTGATTTTACTTGTACTCCTCTGGAAATGTCAGTCTGATCCTGGAGACTGCACAAGAAGCAAGAAACTTCCCTAGAGAGGAAAAAAACACCTCTGTTAACAGCCTCAACAAATACAGGACTTGTATAAAATGTGAGAGACCCTATGGTCTTGAAGGAGAGACAAATTCTACCAAGATGAGCTGAGGAACTTAAGAATGGCAACTGGAGAACAAAATCTAAAGAAGGGTAGATACCTGCCATATAATTGAGGGACCACCAGCCACCGTAAGCGTACAGTCCTTGGAAGAAGGCTTCGGCAACCTGTGATGCACTGGGGACCTCTGAGCTGAATGCGTCCTCAAACCTGGCCAGACTCTCCCTTCTCCCGCCAACAAGGAGAACAATGCCACCAATGGCAATTACAGACAAGGCCATAATCTTCAGCAGAGTGAAAACTGTCTGCACCCATGCAGCCATTTTAACGCTGCGGCCATTCAAAATCCCCAGGCACCAGAGAACGGCCAAGGCCAAGCATTTCTTCACCACTTCTGGTGCAGGACAAACACCATAGAAAGGCTGGGTGGCATATTCAGCAAAAAGTAAAGCTCGAGCAGCATTCGACGCTGGCTTGGTAACTGTTGACGTCCAGATAAACACAAAAGCAGGTAGGGATCCAAGGCCTCTTTTAATGTGGCTGTATTCTCCTCCAGAGAATGGCAGAGCAGTTCCCAGCTCCGCATAGCAGAGGGAACCCATCAGAGAAACCAGCCCAGACGCAGTCCAGATCGTCAGTGCAACGCCAACGTTGAGTAAGGAATGCTTTAACACCCCAGTGGGAGAAACAAAGATCCCTGCCCCAATGATTGTTCCTATAATAAAACTTACCCCATCAAAATAACCTATATTTCTTTTGAGTTGCGTCTTGGATTTTCCTTTTCTCATCACATCTTTGGGGTCAGCGCTTTTTCTTTCTCCCATTTTTTCTCCCTGGGTTTTTTTTCCCCGTCTTTTTTTTTTCCCCCACAGATGTTGGATGCTATGTATTTCCCTTTCACTTCGTTGTTAGCAGACTGTCATGGCCCTACTTGCTAGTGAAATGTTCTGGGAAGTCTGGCTTAATTATTCAGAAAAGAGAGTATACTTTGGGTTTTGATGTCTCCTGTGTGAAGATGATTAACCAAAAACTTCAAGAAAAACTGGCAAATCATGTACATGTTGGTTTAATATGTACTTCAGAAATTACTAAGATCTGGAGGTATTTTAAAGAAAACGGCACAAGTAATACACAGTAAATGCTCATTTCTCAGCTGATTTTCATAAACAGATTTCCATTTTTTTTAATGTATGTCTTCAGAGACAACTGCAAGAGGTGGGTAAATGTGATGTCCACATCAGGGTAGGGCAGCATGAGGAAAGAAATCAGCCCTCCTTATGTTACTGACAGTGACACAGACATTAGCTGCCAGTCACTGTGTATACTGGAGCTTGTTTATACTTCACTCAGTAAATGCTGCCCTAGAAAAAAAATTACCAGTTTATACCCAGTTTTTCTTGAGGACTCATCATTATAGTAGTACCCATGCACCTCCTAAGCAGGAATTAACTAATTAATTCAGACACGGCTATGAGGGGAGAGAGCTGTACTGTTGTTTCCACTGTCTGTCTGGGGGCTGTGGAACGGAAGGGTGAAGGCTAAAATTACCCACTGGTTTGGTGTGTGCCTTTTAAGGTACAGCCACTGATTCTTCTGCTTATTTAACAATCTGTGGTGTATTTTATGTCAGAATATGGAAAAGGTATTTCTCTTCAATCATATGTGGATATACCATCACCACAAACTTCTGCCTCAAGAAAAATGTATTCATTCTTTTTAAAAGATGCAGAGAAAAACGGGAAGAAAGCAGGAAACTGAAAAAGCAGCTCAGCATATACTTAAGAGTAAAGGTGGTTAAGTGTTCTAACCAGTAGTTACAAAGTTCTTACTTTTTGTGTGATTGTGGAACCAGTTTTGTCCCAAAGGTCAAAGAACAGCAATGAAGAGAATAAAACTCATGGCTTTTACAGGGCCCAGCTTGAAAGACACAGATCAGGTCTGAACAGGAGGATTTTCACTCAAGTACAAAATAAATTCATCCGAAAAGTTAGGTTTATGTAATATGCCATGATGTAAAACCACCTTTAGTTAAGAGACATGAGCACAGACTCTTTATTTCTTAATTTTTTCAATGACTTGGTTAAGGTGGGTTTCCAACACCACACAGAAACTGCTCAGCATGGTCAGTGATAGAATCCATGGCTCCAGAGCAGCTTTTAACCATAAGACAGTATCTCTACCTTCTTCAAATCAGTGCAGCACTCACTATATACCTTCACCTTTGTAAAAACATCAAGTCCTACAGACCAGAGAAATTTTACCTCTGCACAAAACACACCTCTATTTATGAAAAGCTGCATTAATTTTAAATTGCATTTTATCCACTTTATAAATTGTACAATATGTATTTGAGTTCAAGTATGCATTTATCATGTATTATGAATAACTCATAATAATTCTAATATTTATTCTTCAGTATTCACTAATTAAAAATTGTGTGACAAATGTTTTAAATTGTTTAAATATGTAATTTTTTGTTTTATTTCAGTGCCTTTTCTGAGTTTCTCTCTCTGTCAATGCACACTTTTTTTTTTTTTTTATATCCAGCAATCTTCCATCTCTGTTTTGGGAGTTTGGCCAGATGGATTTGGATTATTATTTTAAAACAAATCAGTATTACACTAAATGGCAGCTTAAAGAACAGATGCAACTGACTTTGTTTCACTATTCATCCTAAAGCATGCTAATTTCTAGTATAACAAAGGAATTTCCAACATCCCCTATGCAGTAGATTAATAAGGATCTTGTGACAAAGATGCTTGATTTCAGAAAACCCCACTGAGATTATTACTTTCTTGGGTGAGCTTTCTGCCTACCTCAGATAAATGTTTCTAGTGAAATGCTTCGGAGATTTATGCAAAGTCTGCCTTTCATTTTGGTGTGTTGTTGCCAGATTAGGACGAGGTAAGAGCAGAGAGAATGACAAATCCAACAGAAAACTGACACTGGATAGTTCACTAACGTGAGCATTAGCAAGGCAGAGCTCAGTAAAACATGGCTGGTTACACAAGTAGTTTTCAGCCAATTGGTTATGTTTTCAATAACCCACTTCCCATATTTTCTCTATGATGGGCGTCCAAAATCTCCTGTTGGTTGAAAAGGATAAATTGCCACAGACCGTATGATTAGCTCCAGGTCTCATATGTCAGTGCCTCCTGCCTCACATTCCACTATGTACTAAATACCCGGTCACATTCACTCTGATGACATTATCTGGAAACTCAAGCACAGAATACAGGGCACAGATAAATGATTAAAGTAACCTGGACACATTTGTAAGACAAGCCTAAGATTCCCCTGATACGTGGAATATACTGAAAGGTTATCTCATCATCAAAATAAAATGCCAAAGTACTGCAGTTCTTATATTCAACAGGGAACAACAACATTTCATTTGAGTGCCAACTACCGAGTTCTCTTTGACAATAAAATGAGGTCAAGAGAGTGCTATATAACATCTATGTTCAAAAGCTGAAACTTCAGCTGATCAATTCTAGTCTTTCCAGGATTTAGGATTTTCCCTTTTCTTTCAGACGTCTTTCAGCCTTCCATGTCAAGTTTTTCAATATCAACTAATGGTTACCAGAACTGATATGTTCAGTCACTGCAGTTTCTCTAGATTTAAGACAGGAACCAATGCAGAGAAGTAATGGAAGAATACTTTTCTTTCCTAAAATGGGTATCTATTATATCCTAATTGCAATTAACTGAATTTCAGTGTACTTGATAAGGAGTCTCTACCTCAATCTTGCCAAGAACTTCCTGTGTGCTGTCCTGAATCACTCTTTTCTGTGACCCACTCACTGATTAGATAGATGAGAAAGAAGCCCATCTACCTTAAAATGTCAAATTTTAAAACATTTATTTAGTTCCTTTTCAGTTAGTGAAATTAGTGAAATCCTTTTCAATCAGTGTTTCAAGCATAGTATTGACTTATCCCTGTATCATTCTAAATCCTTTAAGGGGAGAAGATGTAGCAAAACCTAGAACCTAATTTGTCTTCCAAAGTTTTGATAAATACTCTCCTTTGTTATCTCCAAAGAAGCTTCCTGCTGATGATACTCACCAAGGATAAAGAAGAGGAACAAAGAAAAAAACCTGAAGATGCCTTCTAGAAAAAAACAGCCACAAATATTGTTTCTTGACATACATCAAGGGACATACTGTATTTACTATGACTGGCAAATTTTATTTATGATCTTCCTGGGTTTCCCCCTCTTCTTTAGACCCCATTTTGTTGGGAATACAACACTTCAAAGTAGTTTCGTCTTGCCTTCTGAAAGGAGTTCAACAGCTATTCAAGGATTTCCACAGGTAACATTAGATAGAATCAGACTTCTCAGGGTTGGAACTCTGGAAATCATCTAGTACAACCCCCCAAGCCAGTTAACAATTTACCACACCAAACCCCGTGATGTATTCTCAAACTTGAATTTAGAAAATGAGTCTGCACACAGAGGCACTTGACAATCTACTGCCTTGGAAATACTTTTTTTCCCCTGGTACTCTGCCAGATTTCTTATTATGTCTGCCTTGTACTAAATGTCTTAAGGATCTGGTTCTTTCCCTGACAGATGTATCATACTGATTTCACTAGTATTCAAGAAACAGACCCCAACTGGTAGTCAGCTAATGGCAAATGAAAAAACATGGGGAAGTCACTGTTTTGTGATATGCTACAATGCATACCTGCATCCCACACAGCTCTCCTTACTAGCCATAGTTTACTTCAGTATTTGCCAATAAAATATCTATGTAAGTACATTTACATGAGCTGCTCTATGCATTCCTTGCTAGGCTGTAGTGTGTGAAGGAAAGTCTGATGGAATTTTGCAGTAACAGCTATTAGTAACCAGTGGCCGGTGAGCATGTCCAACAGTAGCACTCATCTGTGTAAATGCAAACATTTAAAAACCAAGCATCCACACTTTGTTAGACTTCCCCTGCAGTAAAGAGCAAGAGATGGGTTGAGACCCATTCAGTCCCAGCAACAGCTGTATGAACTGCCCACTGGAAATCACACCTCTTCTACTTTTAGATAGTTTGATGAATCCACACCTCCTCTTCGGATGGGCTTCTATTTTCCAAATCAAATGTTCCACGATGCACTGTAAATTTACACAGCAACGTCATGGTGCCCTTAAAGGCATTCATGAATCGATGTCAATATTGTATTGTAAAGGGGTACTACAACAGCACTGATATTAAAAAGCATGCATAGTTACAAGTAAAAAGCCTATTACAACATGTACCCAGCCTTACTAAAATTCACCGTTAGCTATATTTCTCTTCAAAGTCCTGGCCATAACATAACAGCCAGTGTCCTGTCACTAATTATGGTCACCCAGAGGCTCTCCCCTGCCTTGCAGACAGGCCATGCTGAACATGATCCCCCACTCGTGCCCAGCAGAATCCCCCAGCAGCTCAACCCATCCCTTGGATTGTTTCAGGATCCAGCGGGAGTCACGTCACGCAAATACTGGGGTGGAAACCCCAGATTTCAGCACCCTGCCCCTGAGTGGGCACGACACGGGCAAGTACCGAGCTGATACTCCAAGTGCTGCCAGAGCTTCAGGGGGCTATGAATGTCTCTTCTACAGAGGTACTTCGGGACCGCTGCCGATGCAGAGCCGGGCCAGATCTGCTGAGCCAGTGGCGAGCTCTGAACCACGACTGCAGTAAACTCTTAATACTGTATCAGAGTTATAAAAATATCCAAAGCTCCAGACAGCTCGCTGATGGGAATTCACCGCAGCCGTCTGTATGAACCCAGCTCCCACAAGGAACAACGAAGAAAGTACAAGATCAGCGCTACAAGCCTGCCCATCCACAAGCGCGACCTCTCCTGCCGCCCTGCGCATGCTCCAATTGCCCTGCCTCCCTCCCCTGAGCCTGCCCACAGCACTGCCTTGCGGTGGGGTTGTGAGGAGTTTTGCGTTTTAGCCGTAAAGCACTGACCGCCGCCGTTGCGAAGGGAGGGAAGTTTGAAGTACAGCGGTGGTTTGTACGAGTAAGCGGTGGTATGGAGGGGGAACGCACTATCCCTGGAGAGCTCTACCTTGTGAATAAGGGGATTCAGAGGTGAGGAGCTTGTCGGAGGGGTAGTAAGCATGGGGAGCTGGGCCCCTGGGGTGAGGGGAGGTTGCGGGAGCTAGGCGCTTGGGGTGAGGGAATGCCGTGGCGCAGTGCTGGGTGGAGCAGCCCGAGAATGAAGCTGTCTGGCTGATGACAAGTGCCTTTCCTTTATAGCTTGCTGGAGGTCTCCCCGAGCTCAGAGTTGCACACCCTCAATGTGCACTGTAACCGCATCACCAGGATCGAAGGTCTCGGTCATCTCCGTAACCTGCAACATCTA